ATTAGAAAATAACGCAATAAAATTAAAAGAAGCAGCGGATGTGGAGCCGATTTCAAATCAAGCGTTTCAATAAGTACATATACCTATTGTCTAATGTAAATACAGCATAGTTACCTATGCTACGATAAGGGGTAAACAGGCACCTCAAATCTTTGCTAAAGCCAAAAAAGCTACACTTAGGCGACGATTTCATAATTGTTTACATGTTAAAATAATTTTTATTAAATGTTACTAATACTAAAGCTTTGAAAATTGTAAGCAAATATAAATTCTTAGAATCAGTAATACAAAGTCCGAATTAGAATTACTGGTATCTGATAACACCAATGCTAAAATCAAATTGATCAATTCAATGCCATGCCATGCCACATCTAAATCTAGAACATAATTATAAAATCCTACAAAAATCACATTTAGTTTGGGATTATGATTAGTACGGCCATTTATCGGCGTATATTGATAGTGTAAAACTAAATATATTGATAGTGGAAACTCAAACCGATGGGCAGCAGCAACTTCTTGATAATAACCCAAAATAATAAAAAGCTGCGGTTGTCAATACCAGGCGGCAGCCAATCGAAGCACTAAAACGAATATCTCCTCTATGAGGCAATCTATAGGGTAGGCATATGTTTAGCAGTAAATTATGATAGGTTGTAACGACGATGATGACATTATTATGAGGGTTAGGACTGACTGGAACTGGCTAGAGGAATGTTCTAGTTGCAGAGCTGAGTCAAGATTTCCTTACATTATTTCAGTGCAAGCAAATGTTACTTATAGCACTAATAGTTTACCAACGTTGAAGTCGATTAACGTATTGCTAAGATCCCAACTAGGAAGAAGTGGTTATTAATAAACAGTTACAAAGACTTTCACAAATTTTACCTAAGAATATTTAAACTCAAATATAAAAACAAATTATAATCTGGGAGCTATAATGTCACAGATATACAAAAAGACAAATGATTCAAATGTGTAACACTACTACCATCGAAAATGTATAAATGTACCTAAATCTAATTACAGTCGAAAAATAAAACCAATATTATGATTAGCATTACAAAGTACTATTCCTTTGTCATAATCAATAAATCATAATTTACAATTACTGTAAACGCACCCGACTATAATTGACCCACCCCTTGCCCGGGTCATTGACTCCCGCCTCATTTCGTTACCGGATATTTTATCAGTTGTGATAATTTTCGGACAAAAAGTCGCGATGAAAAAGTGAAATGGGTAACACTTGTTCGCTTAGCGTGACTCCATTCGTATAATGAATTACGTGAGGTCGGCAGCGTGTATCGAGTCAGATAGAAAAATAGTGGTCCTGCGATCAGCGTATGTCACCGCATACTTCAGAATACTGTAGGTCGTCGACCTTACGGAAGCCGAGGCAGTTGCCCTAAACAAATGGCCGCCGCTCACAGAAGAGGCGCGGAAACCTGCACGAGAGCTTTATCAATATATATATCTCAAAAAACTCAAATATAACTGATGGAATAACTAGCAACTAACATTCCCACGGAATCGCACACTCGCTTCAGTATGATATAAAATAATTGTAATGGAGTTAAAAGTATACAATATTTCCTTTTAAAGTTTTGATGATAAAAACTGACTATGTATTACCACCATTGAGAAGGTCAAAACAAAACACGTCAAAGTCCATTCGCAACGACTTAAAGATTAGAAAATTTTGCAAATTTTTGCAATTAGTTCAACTGTGCCCCCCGACCTTAACAGGTCGTTTATCAACGGCAGTGTGCTTAAAATTTCCAGTGAATTTTGTCCATTCAATTAACTAGTCGATTGCGTCCAAGCGGAAAATTTAACAAAATATTTTGCTTTAAAACTGAAAGTATCTAAAGTTCACAAACAACGGAAATATAATAATTTTTGTACTTCATTTTGCATTTGAAACAGTATTTTTGTAAGTATCGTCGTACTTCGTGCTAATTAAAAAAAAATAGGATCTCATTTCATTTAATGTTAAAATTACTATAATAGTGAAAATAACTTTATTTGTCGCTTAATTTCACTTTCAAAACTGAAAGGATTTAATTAAAGTAACAAAGATACACTAGTTCCCATATAACGTTTAACTGATATTGATTTGTAGCGGCAAAAAATGTAACAGTAGTGGGTTGCAACTTGCAATACTCCCAAAACTCGAAAAAAACAAGTAACTGAGAATACGAAAGTTCAATAATGTGTCATAATTTCTTTATGATCATGCTAAAAACATTTATTTATTTATTCTTTATTTCATTTCCTATATGGGCGGCGTATCGTATTGAAAAAGGTTGATGCCTTCTCACTATATTTGGCTCCCATAATAGTTGCAACAAATTACAATCGTTCCTAAAATGTCTTTTTAAATGTCATATAAACAATAGAATAATTAATATTTACAGCCGACACAGACTGTCATTATAAATATGTTCATAATTTTTCTCGTGAGAATAAATTGTGGCCATATTATACAGAACTGATTCCTGTAAACGTTAATACGTTATTGATTATACTTTATTGTAAAGTTAATACTTACATCAATAAATATATTTGTTTTGCCTTTTTTATTCATTCTCATATGTTTATTGTAGTATCTTCTATTTAATGAAAAAAGCCAAATATGAACAACTAGAAGCAATATGAATCAATTGAAGCACTGACTGGAAAACAGTTTAAAAATTAGTATAATCGTAAAAGAACACCAATAGCACTCGTATATATTAATAACTGAGAACAACATCGCGTATTATTAATTCACACGTAAAAAAATATTAAAATTGCACAAACTACAAGCATTCTACAGTACGCAGACCGGATGATTTAATTCCAGCCATTTTATAATCTGTTTAGCGATGTAATTGGTTGAATAGCCGTCTGACACTCTATTTGCTTTAATATCTTACAAAGAGGACACTAAGTAAAATATTTTAGTTTAACCGCCTCTTGTTTAATAATTCTTTCAAAACTTTCACAAGAACGGATCGGTTAGTTGTCACATAAATTTTATAGTTTCGGTAGTTTGTGTTACGAAATTGACAAATGGATTCCTTTATTTACTTCTGTTAAATTAACAAGCGAACGATGTTGCCGAACTAGTTTCTTGATTGATTGCTTCGAACTGTTATTAAGCTTGTCGCTTATTACTTTAGTTATTTGAATTAATAATTGTGATTTAGTCATTTGGCAAGGACATGACAGGATTATAGTGCACGAATGTGTGTGCAAGCACAGAAGCACTCTCTATTCCTCCAATAGTCCGATAGGACGGTAATCCAACACAACCAGAGAAGAGCAGACGCGGGAATAACGGCTTAACGTGCTTTTCGAGGCATGGCGGTTAAACAGTGAAATACCTCCAACTTCCTGAGTCCGAACTGATAGTGAGAATTTCTTCACAGAAAAACATAATAACTGATTTTGATCAAGCCTGGATTCGAATCTGGGACCATGTGTGTTTACTTGTTGAGATAACAATAGCAACAATAAAAATTATTAAAAAAACTGTTTGAAACCGATTTGATCTCAAAATCAAGTCAATAATTAAAGTTTTTAGGGCGAAATAAGAACGTCGTTATATACGGTAAACTGTTGGGCAGTCTAATAAAATATTTACTGCTAGAAATGCACAGCGCTATTGCACCTGCATTTACGTAGTATCAGGTTACGGTGTATTAGTGCTCAGCTAAGGAGGTTGACTCTGAGCCACTTCTAATTCAGCTTATTGGATTATCTTGAGCCGGAGCGCTTGTGTTCGTGGTGCGAGCTATTTGCACTAGACGTGAATTGTTGACAATTCGCAAACAACATATTGTTTAATACTCGTGAAATCGACTAATCACAATATTAATTCCGCTATTAATAGAGCATTTTTTATAGTAATGGAAGCACTTTTTATTATGATTTGGAGAAAAGATTGTCATCAACTACTTTGACACTTTAATGCCATTAGGGCATTTTGATAATAAACGGGTTTTACTCAATAAAATTATTTGTTTGATCAAAACATATTAACGTAGAAAGAAAATACATTTTAAATAATGTTTCTCATCCACAATATCCATTAAAATGTGCATGTGCGACGCTACTAGCCATTTGCTGAAATGGTCTAACACATTATAGTACTTTATAACACAGTTATAATACCAAAGCATAGTTAATTGTTTATGCATCGTAAACATGCAGCGAGCTTAGTGATTTCTCGACTTCATGGGAACTGTGCATGTTTATTTTCAATATCGTTCTACGTAAATGAAAAATTTAACCATATCTATGCTGTTAGCGTTTTTTTTTTTAATAAATTTACATGAAACCTCCACATTACGTGACATAATAGACAAGAGTAATAGATACATTATATTTTTCACTAGCGATCCGCCCCGGCTTCGCACGACTGATATCTGAATCTCGACAACAACGCCACCTATACAAGTCTTGACACGCAAATCTAGCTCTGAACGAAACGTTGGGACGGGACGCGCACGAATTGAATGCGACTGTAGAGCCAATCAGCGCGTGCGAACGAGACGCACGAGCCAATCAGCGCGACTTATGCGCAATAACGGTCACCGCTAGACTTTCGTGCCGCTAATTATACCGGGTCTAATTGTGAATCTAAACCATACTCTAATCAACTTAATCACACACACAAAATTTCATCAAAATCGATCCAGCCGTTTAGGAGGAGTTCAGTCGCATACACACTGACAAGGGAATTATATAATACACAATATGCATGTATTATACATATAGAACTTCCTCTTGAATCATTCTGTCTATTCGTGAAAACCGCAACAAAATCGGTCCCGTACTTTAAAAGATCTAAAGCGTACAGATGGCGGGAAGCATCTTTGTTTTATACTATGTAGAGATGTAGAGATAACAAAGGAGGATTCCTACAAATTATATGATTAAAATAGAGGATAAGGTAATTGCATTTTGTTATTTAATTTAAATACCATAAAAATAAGTACAAACGATCTTACCCAACGCCTCCGTTCAAGGCGGTCACCAAGCCAGGCCTCACATAGCACATATGCATGCCCGCAATGTCCGAACACTTTTTATTGACACTGATCGCAATTGTAAAAATACCTTATAATAAACGAATCTCTGACTCCACTTGCTGCACTATTAATTTAAACGGTTTAATCCACACCTCGAACGAACATTTTCGTCAGCATTTAACTTTTATCCGACACACAATCCGCATCAGATAAGCACTATGAGGCAAATTTGTAATTGGTCATGGTGAATAAGAATCGAAATAAACCAATCACGATGAAATTTTATTATTGAAATTCGTAACATGTATCACTCGATCGCTGTAACCAATGAATATTCATATCAACAATCGTAACTGATTGCTAACAAAAGAAGCGGACACAAAAACGCATGCATTGAAAAATGTAATACCTAAATTCTATAATCAAGGAACGGCATCATGGGTACAACTGTTATATTCTCATGATGATATAAAGTAAAAAAAAAAAAAAAACAAATTTAGCATCAAATTTGAAGATTCTTCCTCTGGTACAACTAAATAATGTAGATAATAAAATTATAGTTCCGTAATAATGATAAAGGGTATGGACTGAGGAATTTAACGTCGTGTGGTTAAATATGTCGTTCGAATAGTGTTGGAAAATATCACAACACAAACATGGCAAAGTCTTTGTGGCTTAGTTGAAGTGGACCACAGGGCTGTTTTACTGCTGAATAATCTAAATGAAATATTCGGAATGAAACGTAACATAAAATTTGGATTGCAAATTTTATGGGAAAGCTAAGCGTTAAAGACGCAAACAACATAATAATATGTGTTATACAGAATTATTTGAAATCTACACGTGACTGATTGACATTACCGCATGTCTTAACACTGTATGAACACATGCAAACAGGCAACTCATAGTCGTGCGTGTCCGGTGCATGTATTGTGTGACCGAAGAGTTGTGAAACAATAACAAATTAAGTGTAGGAAGTAAGATGAATGCCAAAATATAATATAACCATAATATAGGGATGAAACACAGCACTTGAAAATTGGAAGATATCGTCACTGTTATCAAGAAGGTAATTGCCGTTTACCGTTAGAGCCTATTAAAGTCTATTGCGGATGACAAACACCTTCCTCATATATTGACTCATAGGGGGGGATATAGATATAGATATAGACGTATTGTCATCCATGAGTACTAAGATGGAATGCCTTCGATTAACTAAGAAGGCTAGATGTGAGTTTCCATCTCTGAGAAGAAAAAAGAAATGCCTTAAATATCCGTAATAGCTCATGGGCTTTGAGCTCACCTCAAATTTCATAATATTCGAACATCCCAAGTTCGATCTCCACAGGTAACGTTAAAATTGTTAATCGCAATTATTGCGTGTCTGTAAAATTTTAAACTTTTTGATGACATGATGTGAAGTCTACAAACTGTGCAGTAGGTACTGTGATATTTACTGCTGCTTGAAATAAGCAAGAAGTAATCTGCCTAGAAAACAGACGCCTGGGCAGACAAGAAATGTCGTATAGATTTTCTTATTACAATAGAAAAGCAATCTAACTCGTTTGAATCCACTGACATGCGCATAACTCGTAAGAAAAATGGGGAAGGTAACATAATGGAAACGATAAGGAAAAAGAAAACTCAACCATGACAAAAAGAGAGGTTAAAACGATAAGGATAAACGCTAAAGCCGCACCCTAATAACTAATCTCAATTTAAAGTACAGTGATTGCTTATAATCTTCCCAAGCAGGCGGATGTTTCCTTCGCAAGTTTCTTTTGTATTCTCACTTAAGTTTTCATATAAATTATAAAACCATGGAATAATAATCATTTTTAGTATTTAAGCATATCAATCTTTATACAGGAAAAGGTTACGAATAATTCAATGTTTGTTTGGTTTAAGCTTATGTTGATAATGATGAATGAACTTGGTTGATGAATATTGTATACAAGATAAGACATTCTCAAGATAATGGAACTGTATCAACGCGGTCGTGATAACCTATAATTCTATATCTGTCAAGGTTAATTACCGGTGTGTATATGAAGAGTCTTCAAGACTGTACACCCAGTGCGTGTTGCCAGTGATGACATACGGAACTGAGACGTGGTCCTTCACTGCTGGCCGGATGAGGAAGCTCAAGGTCGCTCAGCGAGCTATGGAGAGGGCTATGCTCGGAGTTTCTCTGCGTGATAAACTCAGAAATGAGGATATCCGCAGTAGAACTAGAGTGACCGACATAGCCCAACGGATTAGTAAGCTGAAGTGGCAATGGGCCGGCCATATAGCTCGAAGAACCGACAACCGATGGGAAAGAAAGGTTCTCGAGTGGCAGCCTCGTACCGGCAGGCGAAGTGTAGGGCGTCCCCCCACTAGATGGAGTGACGACCTGGTAAGATATGCAGGAAGTCGATGGATGCAGGTGGCTCAGGACCGTGCTTTGTGGCATTCTTTGGGGGAGGCCTATGTTCAGCAGTGGACTTGTGAAGAGCTGTAATGAATGAATGAATATGAAGAGAGGAAATTTTCTTTTTGAGCCAAATTATCGAGCGGACAACATTAAAGACGCATTAACCCACTTTAAAGTCGCAACAGATCGGTTTGTCACAGGGATTGAATAAATAAACAGGAAAAAGAAAATTTATTACGTAAACCAAACCAAGAAGATAACAGAACAGTGACGACCATAACGCATCGCGTTTCAAACAAATTGCTAATAGGAATTTATGGAAAAACAATTTTAAAATTAGCTTGAAGCTTAAACAACAGTTAACATTTTTGAAAAAATCGGGGTATTCCATAAAAATCATAAACAACAATATGCAGCGAAGAATTTGTTACTGAAACCGCGAGAATACAAACAATGAAATAAATTATAAAAAATTGCATTCTGTCCAACCACAGATTTATAATAAAAGCTGCGAGTTTAATGCCATAAAAATTTGCAAAAGCTTCGGTTTTTTTTTAACGGCCGTTTCAAAAGAACTCTCGACTCGTGGGAAGATCAAACCAACAGAACGCATTCTAGTTAATAGGTACATTTGCCGCGTTTTAGGTGTTCCGAAGAAAAAGACCAGCGTTTTATAATAATTTATAATGTCAGAAATCTGTAAGATGCTGAGATGTCTTAATATTAAGTAAGACAATAGAACGTTATGTAACATTACCAGCAAGTCTTTGTTTCAGAAGTATTAACAATTTTTTTTTTTTACCAATAAATAAATTTGTCCAAACTAAATATGCATGTTGAGACTTATAACGCATAAATAGAAATAGAAATCACTATGATATTTTTTTATACAAAGCATTCAATATATTATAAATAAAATATCAAAAATTATGACAAGTCAAAGACTACCTCTTCTCTTCTCTACCTCTTTTCTATTTACAGATCGTAAGCAGAACAAGCAAAGCAGCAACAACGACATCTATAACCTATAAATAATGAGTCGTATTCAGTTTGAAATATTTCTCGAAAAGATATCAGTTTAATTGAAGGTAGTGCGAAAACATGACATCAATTATATATTTTTTTGTAATTAGGATGAAAGAAAGAAATAATCAAAACCAAGGAAGTTTTTTATAACTGGTAAAACCATGACTCAAGTTTGAAAATGGAATTCCACGTAGTTTCCAAGTAACTTGACATCCCTGGCGCTATGTTAGATTAATTATCAGTATCTATTAAATACAGAATCATCAATCAAATAACATCATCTCCAATTCAGGTACTGTATTGAAAAAGGCATAATGAAAATCGAGAGGCTCCATAAATTGCAACCGATTAACGTAAACAATCCCCAGTTCCAGCGATCAAGTGTACGTCATGCATGAGTCAACATTATGGACATTACATCCGTCGGATTCTTAAAAACCACTGCCTCGTACACCACAATCCAAATCCAACACTGCAATCCAAATAGTTCGTGAGATTTCACGCGTACGTAGGGGTGAGTTGACAGTGCGCGGGCATTGCCATTCCGAGCACGTTCGCTCGCGTTCGTATGAATGCCCGCCAAAAGCGAACGCACGCCCTTAGTCGTACTGCAAGTAAAAGAAACGCAGAGACGACTATCGACGCGACCGCACAACGAGCAACGTAGCGCGCGACTGCCGCAAGAGGGGCGGGAGCGACGACGACGAGTCGCTCGCAGGTTATCGTCAGCAATACACACAGATAATGATGTCAAAAGTGGATCGGACTAATCTTTATAACACATTCCAAATACCAAATCGTTGATGTTGCAGCATCAACGGTGCTTTGTGGCAGTCAAAAGCTACAATCTTAAGAAACATATGAAAAATACATAAGACGCTATAAAAGAGAAAAAAAGATAAATGGCCTTTTTAGCAACCGACAGATCTTCAACAAAGACCAAGTAGAATTCCGAAACAAGTCGAGCGCCGTGCTTAGACACCGGCGATAATTTTATTGTCCAGAGTGCCGATCTCATGTCCGTTACAAACAAAATTTGACCGAAGCACAAAAAGCTTAAGGAAACAAATCGCTTAACCGTCCCAACTAGCACACACTTCAACAATATTGGTTATATTGTTAATATTCGACAACCTTCCGAATCTGCACCGTGTCATGATTGTGTTGGAGTTGTACAAGCATCGGCCGCCTTGATGCGGACGACACTTTAGTATTTCTTGAATGTTTAGTGCACATTCGGGGTGAACTAAGTGATAGTGTAATAGTTCAATAAAGTCGAAATTCTTTAATACCGTAAAAGCTCTGCGGCGTACTTCTTTTTAGCACGATGTTACGAGGCACTTTACATTGTGGTCGTATTATGATGAGTATATCTATCTGTTGATTTAGGTTTTGCGGTGGCATGATAGGTAATAGAAGAAGTTTTTCCCATGATTTTCCACTCAGTATCTATCCCAACCTTGCTGTATTTTGACGTCACTTCTTCATTAACATAATTGCAACGAACATGACAAGACCTTGAACTACCAGTGTCGACACATCCCATGATATTTGCTTCATGGTACATCCTAAATATTTATTAGGTACTGCGCA